CACATGAAGTTAGACAAGCTACAAAAATGAACAAAATATACCGATGATAAAGAAGAAAAAAAAAGAAAGAAAGGAAAGTCTTTTAAAGATAGCTTACAATAGACTCAAGAATGTTAAAAGTTTTAGAAGCCTTTGAGTTCAAAGGATTTGACATATTCTTAGAAGTAAAAAGGGACTTTATATCAGATGAAAACATTCTAAAGTTAGGTTTGCAATGAATGGTTCTGGCTTTATGAAGGTGAAATTTACCCAGAAGACAAAGCAATAAAACAATATGTTCCAGATTAATGTCCTTGGAATGAAAATCTGACAAAAAAATTGTAGATTCTGTTATTTCTATCATTTTGTTACAGCAGGAAAAAATTAACATGGTAACTTCTGACCAAAAAGACTTGGTGAATGGGCCATGATAACCCATATGTAGAATAGATTCTTCATCAGTATTACAAAATGAACACATTGAGGATATATTCTCAGAAAATCTGCTCAAAAATAAATTACAAGGGTAGTATCTATGAGCAATTTTGAAATGGATTTCTTTAATTTTATTTGGGATAAATAGCCTGTGAGGAAAGGTCCATGTCGTGCGTGTAACAGAGCTGTTGTGAAAACAAGCGTTGTGTCTGTAAACTGTCATAGTCGTACATTTTGGAGTTGTACTCTAACAAACACACAAAATCTCGTATCTGTAAACTGTCGTGGGCGTAGATTTTGGAATCCAACTCTGACAAAAAACAGAATTACATACAATACTTTTAAATCACGCACGAGTAAATTAAAATGACACACAAATGCTTTGAATTACGTACGATTATTTTTGACAGTGATTTTATTCCATACTATGTCAGTTTGGCTAAAATTAAAGCAGAGTTCTTTTTGTTAGTTTTTAGATATGTGTCAGGCAATGACTGAATTTATATGAACATGCTCATTCAAAGGCATTACACAGTCTTACATTAACGTTCGTGTACTTATGACTGCTCATGTTAATTTAAAGCAGTTTTTAGGACACTATGTCCTGTGAGTAATGTAGTAATTCTCTAGCTGAGCTCAGAGTAAAATTATTCTTCAGAGGTTGTCCTTTCATATCTCAAGGAATGCAAGTTCTCATTTACTGTACAGTATGTATTATAAGCATTATAAGCGTCTCAAATGCTTCTCCTAAAAAATTCAATTTGAGAAGAAGATAAAGAGAGTTAAAGAGTTCTTTATTTTAAGAACCAATTCTCACTATTAACTAGTTGCTTATTTACATGCATATTACTAGCATACTGGCCATTTATTAGTACTTATAAAGCGTATATTAATGGCTTATTCTGCATGACCATATTTTAGAACCCTTAATCCTACCCCATACCTAAACTTAACAACCACCTTACTAACTATTAATAAGCAGGAAATTAGGAGTTTATTGAGGGAATAGCGAATATAGTCAACCCAAAAATGATTCAGACACCAGATATAATTTTTTATATTTTTTTACTAGTTGGGTGCAGGACACTATAGTTCATTTATGTAAGTGAGGATAGCAAAATAAAGTAATCTGTGACATACCCAAAAATTCTTCATACAGTGGACTACCAGTAAAACTGATACAAATTTGGGACCACATTTTTGACCTGACCATGTTTTGCTTAAGTGTTATCTGACATTATCCATATGAATTTGTTCTGACACAGTTTAACTCTTGAGTTCTTGTCATATTTTATTACCATTTTCTAAACCATAGCGAATAAACTGTGATAATGTGTGAAATGTTGAAGGTGTCTGAATAAATTTTGGTTTGACTGTATGTGTTATATAGCGAATATGTGTTCCCTGAAGTGCAACCGAGTTCTCCTTAGTATTTTTTTCCTTTCTTTTAGGAGGACATCAAGATCATTTTAATTTATCATAAAAAAATGGAAAAATAATTTACTGCATCACCTGTTTCAGTTGTCCAAAATATACATTTATACAGTTTTAAGTGTAGCTTAAATATACAAATATTTTTGTATGTTTGTATAAATGTTCTTGACAGTTTTTACGGTTGATTTGATTAGGTTGTCCCTCCATGCAATTTTTTCAGGTCCTGACCCTTTTTCCAGTTTTTCATGATTTACTGAATAAAGATTAAGGATAAAAATTTATAAAAGATAAAAAAAATGCATAATTTAGAGCTAATTTAGAAAATGTATAGTTGTACATTTTTATTAATTTTAGTTTCATAATAAATTTTACAGGTCAATAAATCACACTTGTAAAATTAAAATACCGTATGTAGCTTGTTTTTTCAAGACAATGGGAATCCTGGATCTTCAAATAAAAAAAAACAAAATTGACTAGTTGTGTATTTTAATGCTTGTTTTGAATAAGTTTAAGTCATCTCAAGGCCCCATTGGAAGTTTGCTGAGGCCCCTAGTGGGCTCCGGCCCCCTGGTTGAGAACCACTGAACTAGAGGAATGATTTTCATTCACAATTTAAATGTATTGTTTAGTATTTAGCATTTGTTGGAAAAACTTCAGCAGATTTTGGATATGAATGTTACTATTGTTGTTACAGTGTTAGAGTTTCATTGTCATGTTTCTGGCTCATTTCTTGATGTTCTTTCAGTGTAAAACGCACAGAGCATACAGCTCTCAAAGCCCTATGAGAGCAACTGTTTGTGCACAAGTCAGATCTCCTCAGTGCCTTTCAAGAGATTGATAAGGAGAACACAGGTATACACAACTATCTGGCATGAAATGCATATTTTAATACAGTACTGCAGTATTCTGCCACCTAGTGATATGATGATATCACTACCACTTCTTAACTAAATAGCTAAAGAATATAAACAGAATTCAGACTATTTAGTATCTGAAAACAGTCTGCTTGTTAAGTCTGACATCACATTACTGTTTCCAGGTCCAAACGCTCTATCAGCTGCCAAAAGCAAACAACAAACTGTGCTAATATACTCTCACTATATGCAGTAATAACAGAGAAAATCACGATCCTAACCTTTATCATCCTACTGAAATCTCAGATGGCCAGACAGTGATTCATCTTTTATGAATCATTAAAATATTGGTGCCTGGGATGCTGTGAGGTTTAAGACTTTTTCGTTTAGCTTAAAGGTGTGATATGAATAAACAGTGCTCATAAACATGGTATGAGATGAGATGGTACTCTCAGTTGAAATGAGAAGAGGCTTGAACTCAGAAACAGTATTCCTTACGTCATGACTTTAAGGTATAGTTCACCTTCAGTTGCTGGTCCCCATAAAAAAAACACTATGCAAGTCAATGGGGACCAGCAACTAAAGGTGAACTATCCCTTTAACAAGCGGATAGGTGGCTGGTTTTGCAGTTGTTCAAATGCCAAAGTAATGGCAATGCCTCTTATGAGCAGAAATATTTAATAGTTTCTCTGTCTGATCTTTGACCTGACAGGACTGATCTATTTGAATAACTGGGCGAGTGCAATCGAGCGAGTTCTTCACCTGGATCTGAATTGGCAAGTGCTTCATCCTCAGCTAGTGTCCAGCACCACTGATGGAAAGCTGGACTACCAAGGCTGGTTCCGTGATCTCAAGTTCAAGTTCATTTTATTTGTAGAGCACATATACAACAGCCACCAGGCTGACCAAAGTGCTTTCCAGAAGAGCAACAATTTTACCACATACACGGAAAACAAACCAGACAAAAATTTTAAACTGCACGTTTAAAAATTACCATATCACAGTAGTCAATACACTAAGGAAAACAAATAAGTTTTTAGCAAGGACTTACAAACAGACAAAGAAGGGGCCATTCTAATCTCTAAAGGTAGGGTATTCCAGAGTCGTGGCCCTGCCACCGCAAATGCACGCTCCCCTCTACGCTTAAGCCTAACGTGAGGGACCACCAACAAGGCCTGGTCACAGGATCGTAGGCTTCTAGACGGAGTATAGAAGTAAAGAAGGTCAGATAGATAGACAGGAGCTTGGTTATGTAGGGATTTATATACAAAGAGGAGAATTTTAAAGTCTATTCTCTGACAAACCGGCAAACAGTGTAGAGATCTAAGAATTGGAGTGATGTGTTCATGTTTACGACCCTTTAAAGGAAGTCTGGCCGCAGTATTTTGGACAAGCTGAAGACGTGCAATTTGAGATTTAGATATACTGCAATATAAAGAATTGCAGTAATCTAGACGAGACGTAACGAATGCATGAACAGCCATTTCTAGAGTTTTAGAGGAATTTAGAGGAAATTTTGGGCTAGCCATGATTTAACCTCCTCTAAACATTTCAGAAGAGAAGTAATCGCAGTGGAATTGTTTTTCTTGATTGGTAGATAGATTTGAGTGTCATCTGCGTAGAAATGAAAAGACACCCCATGTTTTCGTAGAATAGAGCCCAGAGGTAACATGTAAAGAGAGAATAGAGAGGGAGCTAAAATAGAGCCTTGTGGAAGGCCACAGGTCAGAGGAGCAGGGGAAGAAGAAAAATTACCCAACTTCACTAAAAACTTTCTGTCAGACAGGTATGACTGAAACCATTTCAGAACGTTTGCTTTTAGACCTACCCAAGACTATAATCTAGATAATAAAAATACATCACAGAGCAAAGAGGACAGATTCAGCATTATGATTGGTCAGCCAATCAAACTCCTGGTGAAGGGTCAATTGATTGCACAGTGATTTCCCTGTTGATGACAATTCCTGCCGAGAACAGACAAAATGTAGTTGGATGGCTTTGAATAGCACACTCCCATGGCCTGTGTTTCCGTTTCTCTCAGGTCTCATCACTTTTGAGGATTTCCGTCAGACTTTGAAACTGCTCAGTGCCTATCTGAAAATGGAGATCTCTGATGAGGTCATCAACGAGCTGGTTATCAGCACCGACACAAATATGGTAGCATTGACATTGACGAGTTTATGGAGGCTTTCCGGCTGGTGGACAAAAGCAGACTCGAGAGAGGTAAGAGTCTACTAAAGCTCAAGCAGGACAGTCAGAGCCTTCCTCAGGAGACAGAACCCCCACAGACTGCCGACTCTACAGCTCCACTGATTTCACAATGTGTAACCTCACAGACTGCTGATTCGCCAGCTTCAAATACTGCAGATTCTGCATGCTCACAGACCGCAAATCCTCCAGCTTCGCAGACTGCAGACTCTCCTGCTTCACACACTGAAGACTGTCCAGCTTGACAGACTGAAGATCTCTGCCACATTTCTGTTGTTGTTCCACCACAATAACCGTTGATTGTTGTAAAATTACACTGTTATAAACTATAGCCTTCCCTTGGTATATAACCCTGCCTGCAGATTAACCTTTTAGACTTTAATCTTCCTCTCTTAACCAAATATACTTCAGGTTTAGAATACACCTAGGTCAGGGATGGGCAACTGGCGGCCCGCGGGCTGTATACGCAGTGTCTTTTAGTACGGCCCGCTGGATCATATTAGACTCGGATGATCAATTTTAAAACATTTGAAAAGCAAGACACGTAAAGATTGCTTTCATTTTATGATGTTAATATTATCTCCAACCAGGAGAGGTCGCTAGCTTCCAGCAGCTCCAAAAACTGACCATGAAAACTATTTTCCAGTCAAGATGGTAAACAGATTATCTTTTTTTTTGTTTACCAATTTCAAGGGGATACCCATATGTTTGGATTGTTTGGAAATCTGTATTTTTATTTAATCGCCATCACACCACTGCCCACAAACAACAGGGACGCCAGAGTTGCACTTGCCTCAAATTTCAAAGGTAAAATTCAGTCAACAAAAGCATTTTTCCCAAATGCATGACAGAAATGTTTGCACTGAAATATGTTCTTATTAGGGTTTCCGCGGGTCCTTAAAACGTATTCAGTTAAATTGTATTTAATGCCATGAAAACTCTTAAATGGTACAAAAAGTCTAAATTATAAGAGGTCTTTGGGGACGGAAAGACAAGAATTGCTATATGGATTAATATGACGATTAAACTTCAAAAGGTTACGATTTCACTGAATAAACTTGAGTGCTGCAGTCAGCTTTGTGTACTGCGGTTACCGGAGAAACCACTATATTTCTGCAGTTCCGAAAGTGAAACCTGCTGGCAGAGAACGAATTTGCTTTTTCTATAATGTGTTATTTCCACAGTCTATGGTTATTTCGCCACTTCGTGGCCTATGCATATTAGCTTGCTTGATTTACGTTAGTTACAGATTTACGTTAGTTACAGGCATTTACGAGTTACCCCATAAACACAATCAAGCCTAGAAAAAAAACAGTGAGCCACCCCTTTAAATCTAACTTGTTCATATCTGTAGACACCCTGATTAAGTCCTTGAATTTGAGTGTATTGGACCTGGAAAGTCCTTGAAAGGTCCTTGAATTTGAAGTTAACCAAGGTGTGGGAACCCTGTTATATATTATTTAATATAATAATTAATTGAAAATAATTGTTTAAATTAATATAATAATTGATACTTTTGACTCATCCCTTTTCTTAAAAATTGTTTAAAGGCTGAAATGTGAAGTGCAGATCTTAAAAAGATCTTTAAAGGTCTTAAATTTGATTTTAAAAATCCTGCAGGTTATTTTATGGTAGGCTACCATTCGGAAATTGGAATAACTATCTTTTTTTTTTTTTTTAAATAAGCCCTTTTTAACTGTCCTCTTAGGTTGTTTTGAGAATGTTATGTAGGCCACTAATAAAAAAGGACCTCTGTGCATTTGTTTGTTGCAATGCAATTGAGATGTTTACATTGGCTTGTTGGGGTAATATTTCTGTCCACTGACAACAAAGTTTTCCTTCTGAATTAGCATAACTGCACAAGTTTTATAGTTAATAAAATCTTTAAAAACAAATTACATTAGTTATACTTTAATTTCCTTCAATAAAAATGAAATTGAGTAGGACAGGGTAAAAGGTGTGTGGATGTGGATTAGTAATCTGGCCCCTTGGTATAAAGGACAAAAAATGCTGGCCCTCGTCACTATCAAAGTTGCCCATCCCTGACCTAGATGTTCAGTGATCAATGTTCTCCATGCTTCGTTACTGTACTACATTGTATTGCAAGCTGCTGATATTTCAAGTATTTATGCATTTGTTTTTATCTCCCTGAAAACAAGTTTAAGATAAAGAGGCTTCTAGTAGGCTATTTGCCTTCATTGCCTCTGAGAAATTTATTAACATATTCTGTATCAAAATCAGCCATCAGTATCTTGATAGTACTCCATGACATACTATATTGTAACATAGACTGAATGTTGGACATAATGTATTTGATGTCTGTGTAAATGTGCAAGTATGCAAGTAAATGGGTAGACAGAGTTTGAAAACTTTTTTCTGCAACTTGTGTTTTAAGAGCTATTTTTTAATAAGAGGCATGTTGACGTCGAGCTCTGTGATCTGTTGCTGTAAGCAAATAAAAGGCATTGTCCTAGAAAACAGACCAGCCAAAAAGCGGACTGATGCTTTCCTTTCTACCCACAAGCTGACTGAAGGAGAGGGTTTTGTTATTAAAAGTAACATAGGTTAGAGGGAGTATATTCGCAGTTTTATGCAGTCGTTATGCGGTGAGGAAGTATTTCTTAAGCATTTTATAACCAAAAATCCACCTCGTACGCAGAGCTGGGTAACTGATTACACGTAATCTGGATTATCTAATCAGATTCCAAAAATGAAGTAGGCTACTTGTAATTAGATTATATTACATTTTAAAATACTTGTAATCAGACTACAATTACTTTTTTATTGATTACATGATTACATATTATTCACACAATAGCAATTCATTATTCGTAATTTATTTAATCTTAATTTGGGGTTCGTAAAGTCATGAAAAACCTGGAAAAATCATGTAATTTTAAATAAAAAAAATTTTTTTTTTAATTTTGGAAAAGTCATGGAAATTTATTTCACAAATCTCTGTCTCTGCCTAATCTGGCCAGTGTTGCATCGTCACAAAATGGTATCATTTACACATCTTTTTAAGTCTTTTTAAACCATTCGGTAGTCGCGCGCTCTAGATAGCCTACTGTTTTCTTTGTCCTCAGTCACATCAAAAGCGCACGCATACATAAAGCCGCCCCGAAAACACCTCGCGAGTACCAAATTGAGTTATTTTTCGCAGCTTATTGCGCTCAAGTGGCCAAATACACACAACATTATGTCAAAATGCTCGTGCTGGCGAGTATCCTTGTAAACACAGTCGGTGAATGTAAGCAACTGTTGAGAAAGAAACCGTTGTGTATCAGTACATTGGATCTGTGCAGTCGGTCTTAAAGGGACAGCAGCCTATTAAAGCTGTGCCGTCTGTCATTAATGTTAAAGGGGTTATATGATGCGATTTCAATTTTTCCTTTCTCTTTTGAGTGTTACAAGCTCTTGGTGCATAAAGAAGATCTGTAAAGTTGCAAAGACTAAAGTCTCAAATCCAAAGAGATATTCTTTAAAAAAGTTAAGAGTCAGCCACACCTATCTAAAATGGCTGGTTCTAACACGCCCCCACATATCTACGTCACTATCTGGGAAGATACTAAAAAAAAAAAAAAAACGACTTTGTTTGGTCTTCCAAAAGAGGACGATATCCGCTTCGTCATGCCTGGAGCTGATCTGTGCTGGTCGCTGAGGAAATACTTAAACTTCACGCTGTCGATCACCGGATTGGTGAATCACAACACACTGGATAGCTGGCCAATCAGAGCACACCTCGCTTTTTCAGACCGATGAGCTTTGTAAAAATCGACGCGTTTCAGAAAGCCGGGCATAGAGGAGAAACAGTAATGTACAGTATGTGGAAAATAATGTGTTTTTTTAACCTTAAACCGCATAAACACATTTCATTACACCAAATACACAAAATAATGTTCTTTTTAGCAGCATCATATGACCCCTTTAATCAAACTACAAAAGACAAAAAAAACTTGACTAAATAACTTTTGTTTTTAATTTACAGTTTATTTAATTTATGCAGGCTATATTTCTGTATGCTATGATAAATTTGAGCATAGATTTTTATTCTTATTTTACATGTATACTTGTAAAATAGTGGAACATCATGGGTATGGGTAATGGGTCATGAATATTGTCTCAAAAGTCATGGAAAAGACATAGAAATGTATTGGTAAAAATGTGAACCCTTATAATTATTTTTTTATCTTTTAAATGTTCCTACACATAATAAATAAATCAGAATACACACACACACACACACTGGGAAACCTTGATGTAATGTTTATTGCAGTTCATGTTGTTTATAACAACAAATGGAATATATATTTTTTCTCTTTGCTTTTTTTATGTCAATATGGTACAGGGTTGTCCTATTTAAATCAATGTGATAAACGAGCTAGGTCAAAAGTAATCGAAGTAATGAAAAAGTAGTCTGATTATATTACCTAAAATGTGTAAGAAAATAATGTGTTTTTTTAACCTTAAACCGCATAAACACATTTCATTACACCAAATACACAAAATAATGTTCTTTTTAGCAGCATCATATGACCCCTTTAATCAAACTACAAAAGACAAAAAAAACTTGACTAAATAACTTTTGTTTTTAATTTACAGTTTATTTAATTTATGCAGGCTATATTTCTGTATGCTATGATAAATTTGAGCATAGATTTTTATTCTTATTTTACATGTATACTTGTAAAATAGTGGAACATCATGGGTATGGGTAATGGGTCATGAATATTGTCTCAAAAGTCATGGAAAAGACATAGAAATGTATTGGTAAAAATGTGAACCCTTATAATTATTTTTTTATCTTTTAAATGTTCCTACACATAATAAATAAATCAGAATACACACACACACACACACTGGGAAACCTTGATGTAATGTTTATTGCAGTTCATGTTGTTTATAACAACAAATGGAATATATATTTTTTCTCTTTGCTTTTTTTATGTCAATATGGTACAGGGTTGTCCTATTTAAATCAATGTGATAAACGAGCTAGGTCAAAAGTAATCGAAGTAATGAAAAAGTAGTCTGATTATATTACCTAAAATGTGTAATTTACTGGATTACGTTACTAACTACAATTTTTGTCATGTAATTTGGAATCAGTAACGGACCCAGCTCTGCTCATACGTTATACGTGTTGTTTGGTTACCAAACACCAAATAGGGTATTTCCCCTCAACTCACATATTTGACTCTCAGATAAAGTATTTAGCGATATTTCCTCAAAGATTATGATTATTATTAACTGCGATTCACCACTAGGAGGCGGTGCGCTGATGTGTCTGTGTAAAGACTGGTTTCAGACGAGTTTAGAGCCATATATCGCGGTCTGCTTGTTCGCTCTTGGTTCTTTTGTTAACATGAAGAGGGACTGTGTGGGTGGTGGAAGGCATGGACAAGTACAGCCATCAAACAGCGCTAGTCTTCACATGTCTGCTGTGAGTCACTGCATATCACGAAAAGCTCGTTTTTTTCCGTCAGGTTTCGTCAGATCTCCCACTCTATACCTCACTTTCTTATCAGAGGTTATCACCAAAGTAGCTGTTTCAACACTTTCTGTAGTTATGGCCAAATGGGTTGGTTGTCTTAACGGCCAAGACATTTTTACATCTAGGTTATTCGACTGACGCAGGACAAGTGTTGCTTCATTTCCTCTGATATTAAAGACCCTGAACAGGCCATCAGATATCACAAGTGACAAAACGATCAAGTCCTTCAACTGGGGTTCAGTGAAATGTCACAATTCAAGACATTAACAACAAATGAAATCAACTTTGGACAGATAAGTCCATTAAAGAGGTCAACCAAAAATGAATATTAATAATTATTGTCATTATTTACTCGCCACAGTTTCATTCCAAACCCTATAACGTTAATAGTAGAGGCTTTTGTAGACTTGGAAAATAGTACTCAAGTCATGGACTACTTTTTTTGGAGGGGGGGGAGTGGGGTTCTGTCTGTGGAGAAGATGCACTAAACTAAGATTTTTATATATTTATGGATTGATAATTTTTCAATAAGACAATACTACAGAAGATTTCTTTTTTAAATAAATGCTGTTTTTGAACTTTGTATTCATAAAAGAATCATTAAAAAAATTAAAGACTTCGCAAAAATATTTAGCAGTTTTGAACATTGATAATTTTTTATTATTTATTTTTTGAGCAGCAATTAGAATGATTTCTGAAGAAACATGTGATTCATAATGCCTGTAGAAAATATATGTAGTATATGGAAATGGAAATATATATATATAAAGTAATATTTGTACAGTATTACTATTTTTATTTTGATCAAATAAATGCAGCCTTGATGATATTTGGAAAATAATTTATATAAAATGTAAAAACAAAAAAATTCTACTTTTTTATATTCATCGAGTCCCTCTGTAAGTGCATCAAACAGGAAAGCAGACACATGACAAAAGAATTTGCAAGAATTTAAATTTTTTTTTATTTTTTGCAAATAACACTAAAAAGGTTTACAAAAGCATTGTAGAAAGATTTGTGCAGTGTAAATTATCAAAACTAAAAATGAATATTACTTGAAATGAATTTGCACCTAACATGACATAAGGATTGTCATTCTCAGCAGCAAAAAACGCAATGCATCTCAGGAGGACTTGGTGAAGTGTTCAGTGTTTTTAAAACCACCCTCAAAGTTGTTGTGAGGCATTTACCAGCCCTGAAATGAAGGCAGAGGGGGGAAATAAAACAACTGCTACACTGCTTAAACATGTTGCTACTAAATCAAGTGAAATAAACAAGGATGATATGGCACTAAAAGCTCATCCCTGAAGGAGGGCATCATTCATCTAAGAAAAAAAAAGGTTAGATTGCAATTGGAAATTTCCCTTGTACCTGACATGGCACTATGGCAATCCTTCTAACTGGAACTCAAAGACACTCAGCCTTCCCTTTGTTATTCCAGTTGGACAAACAGTGTGTTGACAGCTTGAGAGAGTTGTATAACAGGAGATCATTACACACAATAGGCTCACACCCCACAGATACAACACAAGCCTTTCTCCATCAAAGTTAACAGTTTTTACAACCACATACACCGTTCCATCTTCAATTTAGGACAATATTCACTTGGTTCTACTTCATAAATCTGAAGGGAAAAAAAAATTAAATTAAGAAAACAGAAATGTGCTTGATGACCCCACTTGTAATATTACAAAATAATTACAAAATACAGAAATGAACAAGACCAAAGAAAAGACCTTACAAATTCAGATAATGTACATACAATTGAACATATGAATACATAAATATTTGTCTGATTACAAAACCTTTTTACTTTATTATAAAATTTGCTTTTTACATATTGTATTGCTGTGTCAATACATAATACTGAGAGTTTCTTTGCACGCTGTAGCAACACTTTACATCTTAAGTTCTTTACTGTATCACATTATAAACTCACATAGTATGCTCTGGAAAATATTTAGTGACTTTTTCAATTGTTTATTTTCTTTATTTGCCCTTGTAGACAATGAAGTTCTAATGCTCTTGTAAATGGGAAATCGATGGCACTACAGCTATCTGTGTGGAAAGCAAACAAACCAGTTATCTACCAAACCAATGTAATCTTTGGTCAAGCATATAGGGGCAAAAGTCACCATTAGGAATCTGGAAACTCTTTAGAAATGGCTCAGGTTCATAGATCTTTCATACTCAAGTCACATGTTACATCTTACCACAATATTCCAGTGGGGTCTTTGACAGACGGAGCTGAACAAAGACCATATTTAGGTAATTTATATACTATTTGCGCTGACAACAAAACTCAAAGAGCCACTGTAATGGACTGGTAGTTAATTACACTAAAGCTTGAATTACTTTCCCTCAATTTTTTTTTCTTCACATACAGCTGCATAAGACACTGCAAGTACACAGTGTTTTCAGTTTAAACCTTGCACTAAATCTTCAAGATAAGCTAATTCCATGGCACAGGCAAATATGCAACAATGTGCACTGCAATCCACGAAAACCGTGGTCGCAATAAGTAACAGATGGTTTACATCAAGTAAAAGTAACAAACGCCAATCATTCCAGCAAGCGTCACCAATATGGGAATGATTTACAGATACATACGACTTTCAAACAACCGAGTGTAACTGCACACACGGGTTATGGCAACTTCAGACAGATAACCAGAAAGATTCATTTGGACAAACAGAGATGCATGCGACGACTCATCTTCTTTAGTGATATTTTGTAAAGTGTGCAGCTATCACATCCTGTTCAAGTTGATTTAAAATATGGCCTCGATTCATATTTTAGCAATAGCAAAGGCTTCGTAAAAGCAAAACGAAAATAAATCTCAACAGACACAAGCAGTGATTCAAGTGCTAGAGTCTCTTTCGCCCACTGAGGGTTAATATAAACCGAACGTGCACAGAAAAAATGTGCAAACTTCACCGATAACCCCTCAAAAACCTGTTGACCTTTAACCCCTTCCGCTCTGATTAGACTGTGGGTTCAGCGGACTGTAGTTGTGCCCTCGAGATTACAGAACAGACGTGTTTTGCTGTGAAAAGGGAGGGATGTAGTTCTAAGTCCGCCACTGATTCACTGATATTTGTCTGACATTTGGACTAGTTCCACCGTCTACCTGCCACATCTATGCAGTAGAATCACACTGTATTCGTAAGTAGTTGTAAGGCAGAAAAATTCAAGTCTCACTTGTAAGTGTTCTACATGTGTTACGAAATGCTAAAAGCTAGTATGATTTCTGTAATACAATGCTTTAAAGGAGTCTGTCTGATCTCTTTTAACAGCCATCATTACTGAAATGTTTCTGGCATCAGAATAAATGTGACTCAGATACTGTGAAATGGAGAGAACCGCTGAAGTCACTAGTTTCCACTTGTCGTCACACTGCATCGTGCAAATCGGTGGACGGTGACCCACCAGAGCAGTTCACCAGTGTGACAAAAACATGCAAGCATTGACATGCCTGCAGAAACATGACTTCCAGAAATAGAAGTTATTTAAAAACAACAAACAAGGTATTCATATGAAAACTTTTAACTTAAATGGTCACTCATAATGCTCAAAATGACTAAATACAACGATACAACAAGCAAATTTGAACAAAATGAAAGCAAAATGTGTGTAAAAGGGAAAATGAAGACTTACAGCAAAAGAATGAAAAGCTTCAGTAAAATCAATACGTTTTACTTCATTCTGAATTGGAACAAAAAAAGGGGAGGAAAAACATTACTGGAAATGAAAACATAACAGCATTATGCATCATTGGCAGATCTCAAGTGATAAATTCTTTAAAGGAACTTTTGAACATTAGTATATAAATGTGCAAAACAAATGTTTTCCCCACTGAACCATAACAATGGTTGACCAACCCAACTGATAATTACTGTATATTGCAAAGAAAAACTGTATAACAAAAGAACACATTTCATAAAGTAATACATTCACTAGAGCACATGCATTCCCTTGTGCAGGTGCATGCATGGGTATTAAAGCAAGGGTTAGTGCCGTCAATGTGAGTGACACATTTAATTGACTTTAGTCTAGGGTGTGTAAGGTTTGATGGGATATTAAAGGCTTTTCCATACTGGCATTTCAAGAGAATATTAACTGTTACTCCATTAATATTGTTCCATGGAAAGATATTGTTGACCTACAAATGACATTTATGACCCTGGAGCACAAAACCAGTCATAAGGGTCAATTTTTTGAAATTGATCTGCAAGCTGAATAAATAAGCTTTCCATTGATGTATGGTTTATTAAGATAGGACAATATTTGGCCGAGATACAACTATTTTAAAATCTGGAATCTGAGGGTGCAAAAAAAATCAAAATACTGAGAAAATCGCCTTTAAAGTTGTCCAAATTAAGTTCTTAGCAATGCATATTACTGTCCAAATGAAGTTCTTAGCAATGCATGTTACTAATCAAAAATTAAGTTTTGATATATTTACGGTAGGAGAAATATCAAATATCTTCATGGAACATGATCTTTACTTAATATCCTAATGATTTTTGGCATAAAAGTAAAAAAAATTTGTTTTGACCAATACAATGTTTTTTTGGCTATTGCTACAAATATACCCCAGCGACTTAAGACTGGTTTTGTGGTCCAGGGTCACATTTCTACTCTTAATTAGGCAATATATAAGCTCGTACATTTTTTACCTTTCTCTGGCGGTTTCTGCAGACGAGGAAGATCAGGATCACAAGTAAAATGGCCCCCAGTCCCACAATGATGACTGGGAAGTTGGAAACCACCGTTACAATCAGCAGAAGCGTCCTCATCTGGGCTGCAGACTCATCGTCGATAGTTGCGGTCTGAAAATTCAGCAGAAAACAAATGACCTTTTTGAACAGAAAAAAATGATATTCTGAAGGAAGCAAGGATGACATGAAAACTCACCTCGTTGACATACATGATGGGGAAAATTGTCTCATTCAGGAATTTTGTTTTGCTGAAAAGGAAAAAAAATGGAAGTCTCAGCCTTTTTTTCATTCCAGAACATTCTTTAATAGTTTTTGTGAGGCAATTTTACTCACGGAAAGCCAGGGACTCTCTTCAGTATGACATTGAGCTGAGCTCTCTTACAGGCACGAATGGGAACCCCTGTGGTCTGCAGAAAAGAGGCAAAGGGCCAATTTACTATTAAAAGTCAACCAATGTTCACCACATTACACAGAGTCTTTGATCTGTTCCACCCGAAACAACGTGGATCAGTCCATCAAACAGCAACTTAATGAGTACATTTTCCATCACGACATGCTACAGAAACAATCGCTGGGATTCTAGGTAGCGTTAGGTAGGTGTGGTTTCACATTCACTTGTGGTTACCAGAGTGAATCACCTTATTTTTTCCTGTTATGGTAAGTACGGGTGTATAAAACTTTCAGATTATAAACCACAAGAGCCCTAACAGGTCAGTGCTGTCACTGTAAAACAGTAAAAATCACAAAACATCTGCACTGTTTACCGGGTTGATGTCGAGGTACGTTTCATGTTCTTCCTCATTTGGATTCATTCCATCAATGGCACTGATGTACCTATCATCGGCTTGGTAGAAATGAGGGAATGACACAACAATGGGTGCACCTGTATAGTGAAGGGGGAATAAAAACAGGCATTAGTTGCTGTTCCTTTATTCAGATTAGTTAACACTCACGTGTAGAGCACCCATCTAGGAAAGCTCTATGAATATGAAATAATTGTTTATAACCTGTTTATCAGCTATTGCATTTATAATGACTGGTCATAAAGATAATAAAGAAGATTAAAAGTTATGTCAAGCCTCAGGATTTTTTATGCTTGTCCAACCTGGCCAGTAGTTCAGATTTTTACCTAGCCATGCCACAAAAAAAAAAAGAAAAAAAAAAGGAAAGAACATTTTTAAAATGTGACAGAAAAATAAGATTTATATTTTTAATTTACAACAAATGTGTTATTATTGTTACATTTTATAGCTATAACATAACTCCACGACAGCTATAAATTCATATACTTAAAAATCATGGCATATGATGGCATATTTTCTATTTAAATATATTTTAAAATGTATAATTTATTCCCTATTCCTTACGCTTCCTTACATTTTTATATTATTATCAATGTTGAAAACAGCTGAGGTGCTTGATATTTTTGCAGAAACAGTGATTCATTTTGTTCCAGGATTCTTTGATGAATAGAAAGTTTAAAAGAACAACATTTAATTAATATAGAAATCTTTTGTAACATTGTAATAATTTAATGTGTCCTTGCTGAATAAAAGTATTCATTTCTATAAAAAGAAATCTTACTGACCCCAAACTTTTGAATGGTAAAGTATATATATTTCTCCAAATGCAAATGCTTATGTTTGTAAGTCATAAAGACATGTAAATGATCAACAAATGCAACGAAAGTAAAAACGCATCACTGAGGCAGGTGACTGCAAATTTGCAGTTTTTAGATTTTACTTATGTTTCTTGACATTTTCCATTTTCTGAAATTATGCCCATGAGGCATTTCCTGGGAATTTTTGTTTTTTTATGCACACTAACAGAAAATTAAACTTCCTCTTTTTTAAGCACATACTCAATAACAAGACAGCCAGTACCTGAACACCCACCACGAACACAAAATACTACTACTAGGTGCTTAGCCTATCGTTAGCTAAGAATAATATGTAACATATCACTGATTTATATCCTGTATCCCATTCCTTAATAACACTCTAAATATAACCATTAATGAACTGTCATGAACCCTTCTAGGAATGATGACTAATCAAAGTATGTGCAAAATTCGATAGCTGTTTCCTATCATGAGCCCTCACATGATAAAAGTGAGAGTTTACTTTCGTTCAATAATAATATAAGCCTACTAGTTTATGGTGGAAACAATAGAGGCTGAGATAGAGTAATCTGTCTGAGGACACCTTCAGCAAATCAAGTTCTTGAGTCATAAAATTGCACTAAAAGTTATTCATTAAGCGCTGAACTCTGATTTCCCTTTCATAGTCCAAGAGTGAGCAAACAGTAGCAGACTGATTTAACTTGAACTCTGGTTACGAGGCCACCTATCAGTAATGGGAAACCCTAAAATTCAATACTAAATGCACATGCTTGATTTGCTTTGGTTAAATGTCAGTCTGCACCAGTTATTCAGGGCACCAAAACCTTTAGCACACTTAGATTGCTTTACCTTGTTAAACAAATTGCCTTATTTAAGAAGTTACCCTATTTTCCCCATGTAATTCAAGGAAATTGCTTTTTCTGAAAACATCCCACATCTTTCCCACTGTAAAAACCTGCTCCAACAAACACGACGGCCCTGAAGCTAAGGTGTGGTGTGACCCAGAACAGGCTTACCTTGCCGACAGACGCTGACTTTGAGGACTCCTTTTCCTAGACAATCCCCAGCAGGCACGCAGAAGCCAGCGTTATTGGGGTTCTCATCTGGGGGAGCCAGCACATCTGAAGGCGGGGCGAAGCGGAAGGCAGGGATGCCCTTCACCTCTGTGTCAGCCACGTAACCCAAATGAATGGATCTGCATGTAATAAAGAACGTAAGTAACCATGTACAAGTAACCAAGTACCTTGTAAGTGTTAAAACATGTTGCTTACCGGCACAGATCAGCAGCAAAGATGTAGAGGAGCTCTTTCCTGGACAGGAAGGTGTGGAAGACACTGCCATCCGTACCATTGATCATGTTGCTCTGGTTAGACGACCACCAGTTCATCTGACTGTTAATGAGAAAATGAATAGATAATCCCATTGTTTCTGCCACAGGTTATAATGGAAAAGGAAGGTTTATGTATTTTTCTCCATAATTCTAATCCAAAAATATACACTACATGTCAAAAGTTTAAAACAGCTGAATTTTATAGGTTTTTCAAAGAAGTCTCTCGTTTATTTGATGAATAGAGTAAAAACAGTAATATTGTAAAATATAGAATTTAAAATTACTGTTTTAAAAGAAAAAAAAAAAGAAATTAATACTTTTATTCAGCAAGGACACATTAAATTGACTAAGTGACAGTAAACATTTCAATCATGACAACTCTCTGAAGATTTAACATGGTGATTGATATGACAGTGTTAATATGTTTGGTCTTGGCGGAACAGATCTGCTACGCTGCTGCTGAATTGCTGCTGCTGTTGATTATTGCTGTAGTTGTAGATTATTGCTGCTGCTGCAAGCAAGTACAGGAACTTGCTACTGCCAATGCATACGGCGATACGGTGCCATGAGTATTTAAGACATACTGCTGCTGCACAAATAGCATATAAAATAACCCGTAGCAGATCTATACAGGTGGAGCTGGGGAAGGTGGAGGGTTTCAGAGAAACTCTGAAAGCGCGCTGCAGGAATCTCTAGTGAATGCAAGCCAGCCATATAAATGCAAGGCATTAAGCTCATTGGCTGCATATGTAGCATGAACCAATCAGCTTGTGCCAAGTCATTTAACTCTCTGAATATCATCAGTTACATTAACAACCCGTCAGCCTGCGCCATCTAAAGTTTCATGACTGAACTATATATTTATAATGGTTTATATTTATAAGAGATTTCTGTTTAAAATAAATGCTGTTCTTTTGAATTTTCTATTCAACAAAGAATCCTGAAAAATGCATCATGATGTCCAGCAAAAAAAAAAAAAAAAGCGCCATTATTCCAAACTTTTGACCCATTGTGTATATCTGCCAAAGTGATTTGAAGTTGTATTTATTGGGAAATGGGTCAATTTAAATCAGGATATGGGGTAACTGAGAAGCACAGGAGCTTTTTTCTTAGACTTTATACTATTGACTTGTCTAGCATCTAATGCAGGCATCCTGTTTAACCCAATTTCCTAAGAATCCTCACTATGTCAGTAAGGCAATGCATATTACGCAAGCATTGAGGTACCTGATGCCATTCCACGTGTCAATCTTGCCGTAGTCCATGTAGTTCTTCTCTCCAGTGTGGAAGACAAATTCACCCTCATGGGTTCCATTTTTCTGTAGTCAGTACATAAACTGTATTTAATATAATGTTACATCCATTAGCAGAAAATAGTCACATAAGTCACATAAGGGTAAAGATGACTAGAAGTCATCAGAAAGTAGGTTGTTTGACGGCCATGATATGAATGCAGAGTTAAAGACTAAATGTTTTATTAATGTAAAACAATTACTTGCTGGTTCGAGGCACTGACATTATACCTACTATTGCACAAACTGCAGATATTTAATATCTGTCCTAAATCTAATACATATATAATCCCTAAAGAAAGTCTAAAACCCATTAGAGTAAACCAGGCCACTGTGTCAAGCCTGTCAACATCTGCAGTCTATGACGGACAGGGTCATGATAACGTCATTTGCCTATCCTGTTCTGATCGTATATGTGCTTTAGAGGTTGCGTGTGCAACTTTGTGTTGGTTGCACAAATATATGACCCATTTAGACCACATTTTATCTCCATTTAGGCGGACTAAAGCACTGAATATGACAAAACTGCAGAAAACTCACATTGTACATAAGGCCGAAATGCTCATCCACTTCTGGTCTCATGGTGTGGAGTTTGGACAGCAGTGGATCTTTAAAACCCCACAGGACCTCATGTACTGTACGATTCATAAACACCTCGATGCCCATGGATCCCATCCACATAGACACAAAAGACCTCAGAAAGAAGGAGTAGGAGTTTAACTCGTTCATCACGGCCTGAAACAAGAGGGAAAGTATTCAGAGCAAATTCTTCGCATTTGGATCAAAGATAATCAGTTAAACAAGTGCTAGGGGCAGACTAAATTTAAAGGCAAAATGATTCAGTGCCAATAACAAAACCCTTCTTACAATGAATGGAATGTTAACCGTTGTCACACGGTCAACCTCAGGATCTCCCACTGACATGTCGCGGAGAAACACAAAGCTTTTGGGATTTGTGGCAAAGATTTTCGTCCCATTCTCTAGGAAAGTGACATTTTCCCTTGGTCGATATTCCCTGATAACAGAAAGAAGCACTTTATTTAATTTACAATCAAAATTGGCAACTGTCTCTTATGCTCAACAAGCCTGCATATATTTGATAAAATAAATACAGTAAAACAGTAATACAGTAAAATTCTACAATTTAAAATAACAGTTTACTATTTTATTATATATTAAAATGTAATTAATTTCTCTGATGACAAAGTTGATTTTTCAGCAGCCATTACTCCAGTCTTTAGTGTTACATGATCCTTCAGAAATCATGCTAATATACTGAATTGGTGCTCAACAAACATTTCTTATTATCATCAATTCAGAAAAGAGTTTTGCTGCTTAATATTTTTGTGGACACAATGAAAGTTTGTTTCCAGGATTCTTTCATAGAAAGTTCAATAAACAGCATTTATTTGAAATAGGAATCTTTTCTATCATTACACGTCTTTACTGTCACTTTTGATTTTTTAAATTTATTTATTCATTTGGCAGACACTTTTATCCAAAGCAACTTACAGTTGAGGAATACAACAAACGATTTATCATAAGATGGCAATAAACATGAGAAGTGCCTGTTATACAAGGTTTCACTCATCGTTCAAAATAGTAAAAAGCTAGGACAGGAGGATGATAAGAGAACAGAAAAAGTGAAGGCATAGAATTTTTTTTTTTATTATTATTACGAGGAGGCAGTTAGATACTCATGGAAAAAAATTGTTTTTTTTTAATGCATCCTTGTGGAATATTTCTTTAAAAAAAAAAAAACACTAAGTTTGCATTTTTACAAATATTTGACATTTAGTTTGAAGTGGGTAGGTAAACGTTTCCTGTTTTCTACTAAAAGAATGAGACATTTCTAGACTTGGGTGCCAAACTTGTTGTCCCTGACAACAGACAGTATCGTTTAGAAAACGAAACACTTCAGGCGGCCCAGAATCTTGAAAATGAACATGAATATCTGAAGATTGAGTATATTTAAAGACTGGTAAATCACCTGTAGGTATATGGTCCTATTTGAGTGACTTTGGGCTTTTCCTTCCCAGCCAAAAACTCATCTGGATTGGTAACATTGAAGAAGAAATACTGCATGTAAACAGGTGGTGGTGGATTTATCCAGCCGTCCAATACTCTACTGTTCTCAGCCAGTGTGATCTCCTGTGAATGAAACAGTCAGAGTCAGCAGTCAAGAGAGAGCACCAAAAGACCAGAAAATGCTGTCTGTTTAAAGAGGTTAAACTCAATGTTTAAGCTGAGTTTCAATATAATTTAGGGAAGAAAGAACACAAAAGCTGAATGCTGATTGACGTAAAAGTTTCGGGTGAAGTGTCAATGACCTGCTATGATAGAAATACTACAGACGAGTCAGCAGTCAAGAGAGAGCACCAAAAGACCAGAAAATGCTGTCTGTTTAAAGAGGTTAAACTCAAGCAGACAGTCGAGCTGATTCAAAGTTACAGAAGAGGAAGAAAAACATCAACATCAGCCATCCACGACACACGACAGCAACACAAACACATTTCTCTGCTATTTGAATTTTCCATCAGAAAGTAGGTTCAGCAGTCCCACTTCTCACTTCTCGAGTTCATGATCTGAACTCAGAAGGAGGAACAAGGTTTATTTTGAAATGACAAACTACCTTCAGAACAACGTCATTCATCATGACTGTGACAGCACAAAATTGTGTAGTAATAGACAAAACGAGTCTCCAAAGGGTGACTCGTGACAAACTCATAACAACCAGAAGGTTTATCAGCAGAATGCAGATAATGCTATCTGGCATCAAAAGCCATGACTTCAGCAGTGTAGCAGAGCAGCCGCTTCAAAACAACAAACATCACGGCCCCCTTCACCGGACCTTCAGCGTCTGAAAGGTCCTTTCAGGAAAGGGATTTGCTAGAATCACTGGACGGATGGTTAAAGAAGTGCCTTACGTTGAAAAAAGTAGTTTGTTTGTTTTAAAATCAATCATTCTAACATATGATCTGTGTCATGATCTGCAAATCACCAATCGATTCATGACAAATGGCACATTAATTTATTATGACCCAGAGAATAACATAAAGGTGTCTTTGTTCAAACAGGTCATATCATTTAAGAGTACACCTGTCTTTTGAACAGAGTTTTTTTTTTCCTCCACATGTTAGCTCTGAATGGGATCTCTGTCATTAGGAGTAACCCTGTGATTTTTCACAAAGTAAAGCACAGGTAAAGAAAATCTGCAGCTATTCAACTTGTTCAATCATGTGTAGTGAAATCAGACTAAAGCTTTTCTTTAAAGTAAGATTATGTTGCGTCACAACCTGACTCTCTTTTCTAATCTCTCATGGTTTCTCAGGTTTGTCAGGGCATATTTTCTTTAATCCATACTAAATTTAACAGTTGTTAATTACACCTGGTTAAAAATTGATGATTTTGTTCTTAAAAGAAGCAATGCATTTTAGCTTATAGACAACAGTTAATTGGCTAAAACCACCAGACCAGACCTTAACAAGTACACATACGCTAAGTTGGGGTCGGTAAGATTTTTTTAATTTTCAAGTCTCTAATGCTCTTCAAAGCTGCATTTATTTAATCAAAAGGGCTATACAGTAATATTGTGAAATAATATTATATTTTAAAAACTGTGATGTGCTGACAAAACTACATTTTCAGCAGCCATACAGTCTTCAGTGTCACATGATCCTTCAGAAATCATTCTAATATGCTGATTTGCTGCAGATTTCTTATTAATATCTATGTTGAAAACCGTTTTTCATGCTTCTTTGATGAATAGAAAGTTTGTTTGAAAAAGATTTTTTTTTGTCATAATGTAAAAGAAATCTTACTGACCTCAGACTTTTGAATGGTAGTGTACATGATTACATTCTTTACAGATTTTCTTACAACTATTCTATGGAATCCATTTTGAATATTACTATGAATTATTTAAAAAAAATGATTACAGAAAACAAACTACTGCATCAACCTCCACACACAACTGCTGTGCTCAGCAACCTTGAGAAGAGAGATATTTGAAGGTCACAAGGACATCAAACTAGATAAATGTTCAAAGCCTTGATCCAGCAACTACAGCCAAGGTAAGAAAAACAATAAATGTTTGTATTTAGACAGTGAGATCATTTGTCCTTTACGTGGAAGTAGTTAACATTACAAAATGCCAGTAAAGCAGATACCAGATCCAGTCTTCTGCTTATGTTGGTAGCAGCAACTGGAAATGTTTTTTTTTTTGTTTTGTTTTACATAACTGACCATGCTGTACCAAAGTCCTTACACTGCCAGGGCAGGCAGATTTTAATTAATTAAATGTAAACATTAATTCACAGCATGTGAATGTCAAAGCCTGTATTTTAACCTGAGCTAAAAGGAAGTTTTACTTGTCAAAACAGATGAAACGCTCTTTAGAAAAACTGCCTCAGAGCTACATACAGCTTCACATGTAGAAACTCCTGAAACATGCCACCCACTCCACGCCCTACTCAAAAACACACACACACACACACACACACACACATCACCTGAGGGCTTGAAAAAGTTGTTTTGTCTAGAGAACTTAAGCCTAACGGCTCAATGGGAGATGTTTGAGTGCCAGACATGACTTGCTGAATATGAAAGGTGAAACAGTTTATCATGAAGGTCAGTTATAAGGCTTTGAATTAACTGTCAATAAAGGGCAAAACATTTCTAGCGAAGTTGACTTCACCCACAGACCGCCACAAACACCCACCCATGAATTCCAGGTTAAGGGAATCCATTGAACACTGAATACTACACTTGGTTAAAAATACGGAGGTCAGAATTCCAACTATTTTTCCAAGGAGAACCGACAGAGACCCACCCCCACAGCCACACATACAGCACACCTCCCCCTGCCATTAACAGCATATGCTGTGTGAATGAACAACCTTCCCCGTTACATTAAAGAAGAGGGATTCACTCCTCCGGTATTTTGCAACGGGAAGCATTTCATTCATAAGACACACAGACAGCACCACTGCTGAGGTGGATTAGAGAGAGAGAGAGGGAGAGAGAGAGAGAGAGATTAAGGCCCCGTCCACACGGAGACGCGTTTAGCTGTATACGCATACATTTTGTAGAGAGAGAGAGAGAGAGAGAGAGAGAAAGAGAGAGAGAAAGAGAGAGAGAGAGACGGGGGGAAAAGGTCTTTTCCGCAATACGATAGGCTTCGTGGTCACAGACAGCTAGCAGCCCACTTTAATCAGGGTTACTAACAAACCCACATTTACATCACGGTAATTTAATATCATGTTTTGACCACCTACACGCTAAAGAGGGGGCATTAAACGGCCAAAATACAGGTTTTGAGTGTACATAACATGAAATTGTGTAGTCTGGCTCTCACCGCGAGGAAGAACATTAACTTGTCTCCCGCGTACAGGACCAGTCAAGAGATTGATATGCCATTATTAGGCTTGTTTGTTTCATGATTTCGCAATGCTTACATCAAGTGATATTAGCAACTCCGCGTGATGCTCAACACAGAAGCCTCGTGTAGGACAGCAGCAGCAGCAGCCCTGAATCACTTTAAAAGCCGGTTTATAACAGAACACGAGTTTTTCGTGGAATTAAACACTTTATAAAAGACTTACCTTTTTTATCCGTTCTTGAATCATTGTTTGGAAGACTTGAGCCACCAGAAGGGCGATTCCCAAAATAAGCAAATGAGCGCACACGATTCCGGTGGCGTAAATGGCACACGATCTTCTAGTCATTTTTTGATGTTTTAAACTGGCTGATTTGTAGGAGGAAAAAATAATAATACTATTCTTTCTTTCTATCTATCTGTGTATTTCCTCTTGTTCCGAACTTCTACTCGAGACTATCCGTTTTTCGGATAGTCTCGAAGCCAGAATCGCTTCCCCCTTCTATCTATCTATCTTTGGGAAGTCGGCGCACACGACCCCAGTGATGTGCGATTAGCGGGAGTGTTTCTCGGATGCTGAGATAAGAGACTATCGGCTCTAAACGCAGAGGATCGGAGGTCTTGTCCTCCTCCCTCACTGGATTCAAATAAGCCAGTCAAGCAAGAGAAACAGTTTTTGGACAGAGGGGCGTGTTAAACCTCCCCCTCAGCTGAGGTCACAATTTAAAGGGGTTTTCAAAACGGATTTATGTGTGTGCATGTCAGAACGACAAAATATATATGCAGCTTAGCAACCTTCAGGCTAAGAAAAAGACAAATAAGTGTTATACTAACAGCAAACCTGCAGAACGGCAGATATAATTCATGTTTCGTTGTAAAACTGTACAACTTCGTATCTAGCCTAATCCCAAACACTCTAGCAGTGCATTCATTTATTAATATAGTACATAAAGTGTTTCATTTGGATATATGTGCAGTTAAAATATACAAACTTGTCTAACAAACAATAAAACTACGCTGACGAAGCCACTGGAACAGACGTTACAACTCAGCGGGGCGTTTTTTGTGTTTTTAAAAGACAGCCGCGATACCGTTAGGTCTTAATTTGCGTTCCGCTATCTACTGTCGTGTCTCCTTAAATCTCTGGTGAATGCACATGAATAATGGGCGGCTCGCAGGGTAAGCAACGGCTGTCGCATCCCTTTTGTCCGAGGAACTCGCGATTCTATTGGATGACGTCTTCCCGGACCACCGTCCTAAGACCACCCCCGGACGAACGTGATTGGCTGAGGGCTCAGAAGTGTGATGCCGAATTTGATCGACTGATTTCGGGGCGGAGTTTATTTAAAGGGAGCCCGCAGCGCTGAAGCAGCTAGAAATCTGATGTCGGTCGCATCCAGCGCATGAGTTTGACTAAGATGAGAGTGGATTTTTCACTACCACAGAAAATAAAGCTCGGTGTAAGAATTGTGAAGCTGTTTGGCTCTATGATGATTAGTTATGATTCTGTTCATATTTTACCTATAGGCCCCTAAATCCTAACCCCAAAGGCTAGTTTGGCCATATTTAATATGCATTTACATATTTTTTTCTTGGTGATTTTATGTTACAAAGTCAAATAGACCTATTTGGATATTTCTTATAGGGCTTACTGTCACTTTATGAGTCATCATAACTCACTGGAAATGGGTGTAGTTTCCCAAGTTGCTGATTGTATCACTGGAGTAATTTAAGACTAGAATAAAACACCTGTGTAACTTAGGAAACTGAATATCCAACATTAGTACCTATTTTAACCCTCAAAAGGGCTGGAGAATACCTCAGAGACAACTACTTTATTATAACATGTAACAGATATCAACATACCTCGGGGTCACTGGCCTGCACGGCAGGCTGCCGTGTTGCTGCTAAAGATGGTGAGCCGTTGTTGGGTTTCCTTAAAGAACCTTTCAGTGAACAGCTCTTAAAAGAATGTTTTTAGTGCAAAGAACATTTTAAGCTAAATAACTTTTTTCACTATTTGTACAATGGAAAGGCTGCATGAATGTTAAAGATTCTTATGAAACCATAAATGTCTATAAAGAAGCTTTATTCTTAAGAATAACGCTCTTTATCAGGGTGCTGATTTTGTGCATCAACTAGTTCAGACACGCCCCCTTCCCAGCATTCATCATGCTGACTGCAGCTGTACAACTTCAAAAAGAAGGTGGGGATGTCATGGTCAATTATACTTGCTGATTAAAGTTAAAATAGTGCATCATTCAGATTTCAGCCTTCAGTTAACATGAAAGAATAAAAGAGCACCAACCAGGGAAAAATAGCTTTAGCCAATCAGTGTTGATAGTCAATCGGTTGTCGTTTTTTTTATCAACTAGCTTGTCAAATGTGTTTAACGTATTACTTCATGTCAGGGCTGGGTGATATTACAATACATATCGTGGCGATGATATAAAGTGTGGATTAAAGTGATTATTACGTTTTGAATATGGATATTTTTCTTACAAAAACGCATCGATTCGCCACAGGAGCCCTTTGTTCAATTCTGTTTTTTATTCCACCACTGTGACTTTTTATCTCACAAGGCGTTATATATTATTTTATATATTATATTATTTTATATTTCACATTGCAGTATTTCTGATAAATGTATTGAATTTTTTATTTTTTTTTGTATTTTCAAAATACATAAAATATTTTGTGCCAGTCAAGCTCTTTATCAGGGTGCTGATTTTGTGCATCAACTAGTTCAGACACGCCCCCTTCCCAGCATTCATCATGCTGACTGCAGCTGTACAACTTCAAAAAGAAGGTGGGGATGTCATGGTCAATTATACTTGCTGATTAAAGTTAAAATAGTGCATCATTCAGATTTCAGCCTTCAGTTAACATGAAAGAATAAAAGAGCACCAACCAGGGAAAAATAGCTTTAGCCAATCAGTGTTGATAGTCAATCGGTTGTCGTTTTTTTTATCAACTAGCTTGTCAAATGTGTTTAACGTATTACTTCATGTCAGGGCTGGGTGATATTACAATACATATCGTGGCGATGATATAAAGTGTGAATAGTTCAATAAAGTGTGAATTGACTGAACTTTTTCTAAATCGTTTACATAGAAAAAGGCCTATCAGGGTAAGCAAATATATCCGTGCAGATTTTAGTGGGAAAACGTTGGAGTGGGAAAAGAAGCATGGACGAATGGTTGAGTAAAAGAGTGTGATGTGCTGGGTGCAATTACACTTATTATAAGTGCAGTAAGCTGCAAAAGAAAATTCAAGTTCACACTAGCACGTTGGCAAGCAGTTTTTTTTGTGCGCGTGCTCCGAGACCGAGTGGAATGCCGACACTTTTGACTAACGGTGTGTTTCCACTACAGCGTCAAATCTGCGCTCAGTGTCGCTGGCAACGCTACAACGCCACTGCTTTGGGGCGTATCAAATCTAGGGCAGAGCACGCCTCTGAAAAACACCCTGTTTACGTTTCATCTTCTTCCTTTCACAGGAAGGCGAAGTTTGGAACCACCAGGACTCTTCCTTGAGCAGGACGCCCAGCCAAACTGAGCGATCAGGGGAGAAGGGCCTTAGTCAGGGAGGTGACCAAGAACCTGATGGCCACTCCAGTGTTTCTGTGGAGAGAGGAGAACCTTCCAGAAGAACAACCATCTCTGCAGCACTCCACCAATCAGGTCTGTATGGTAGAGTGGCCAGACGGAAGCCACTCCTCAGTAAAAGGCACATGACAGCCCGCCTGGAGTTTTCCAAAAGGCACCTGAAGGTCACTCAGACAATGAGAAACAATGGTCTGATGAAACAAAGATTGTACTCTTTGGCCTAAATGGCAAGTGTCATGTCTGGAGGAAACCAGGCACTGCTCATCACCTGGCCAATACCATCCCTACAGTGAAGCATGGTGGTGGCAGCATCATGCTGTGGGGCTGGCAACGCTACAACGCCACTGCTTTGGGGCGTGTCAAATTTAGGGCAGAGCACGCCTCTGAAAAACACCCTGTTTACGTTTCATCTTCTTCCTTTCACAGGAAGGCGAAGTTTGGAACCACCAGGACTCTTCCTTGAGCAGGACGCCCAGCCAAACTGAGCGATCAGGGGAGAAGGGCCTTAGTCAGGGAGGTGACCAAGAACCCGATGGCCACTCCAGTGTTTCTGTGGAGAGAGGAGAACCTTCCAGAAGAAAAACCATCTCTGCAGTGGTTTTCACGAGACTCACCGGCGCATGCGCAACGCTGACCTCATACGTCATGCTCCCAGAACTGCTTCTGTGTACAACTGTTGGTGCAAGCTTCATGAAAGTGATTATTATGTTTTGAAGATGGATATTTTTCTTACAAAAACGCATCGATTCGCCACAGGAGCCCTTTGTTCAATTCTGTTTTTTATTCCACCACTGTGACTTTTTATCTCACAAGGCGTTATATATTATTTTATATATTATATTATTTTATATTTCACATTTTTTTTTCACAGAATTTTGAGTTTATATCTCGCAATTCTGAGTTTTTTCTCAATTTTAAGATAAAATGTTGCAATTTCCTTTTTATTTTTTTTTTATCCTGTGGCAGAAACAGGCTTAGCATGACTTGGTGACCAGAATGTACAATTTAAAACTAAAGAAACATTTTTTTTTACATGCCTGTCTGCAGGGATGGGCAATATACGGAAGCCACTCCTCAGTAAAAGGCACATGACAGCCCGCCTGGAGTTTTCCAAAAGGCACCTGAAGGTCACTCAGACAATGAGAAACAATGGTCTGATGAAACAAAGATTGTACTCTTTGGCCTAAATGGCAAGTGTCATGTCTGGAGGAAACCAGGCACTGCTCATCACCTGGCCAATACCATCCCTACAGTGAAGCATGGTGGTGGCAGCATCATGCTGTGGGGATGTTTTTCAGCGGCAGGAACTGGGAGACTAGTCAGACTCAGGATCGAGGGAAAGATAAATGCAGCAATGTACAGAAACCTCCTTGATGAAAACCTGCTCCAGAGCATTTTGGATCTTAGACTGGGGTGAAGGTTCATCTTCCAACAGGACAACGACCCATAAGCACACAGCCAAGATAACAAAGGAGTGGCTACGGGACAACTCTGTGAATGTCCTTGAGTGGCCCAGCCAGAGCCCAGACTTGAACCCGATTGAACATCTCTGGAGAGATCTGAAAATGGCTGTGCACCAACACTCCCCATCCAACCTGATGGAGCTTGAGAGGTCCTGCAAAGAAGAATGAGAGAAGCTGCCCAAAAATAGGTGTGCCGAGCTTGTAGCATCATACTCAAAAAGACTTGAGGCTGTAATTTGGTGCTAAAGGTGCTTCAACAAAGTATTGAGCAAAGGCTGTGAATACTTATGTACATGTTGTTGTTGTTTTTTTATTAAATACTGATACAAACACTGAATGATACACCACAAGAAATCTTCAGCTTTTGGTTTTATTGTTAATCAAAAAAACAAAAAACAAAACTAAGCAAATAGTGTTAAATGCTATTTAAATGAATTCTAATTTTAAAATTTACATTTTAGATAAACATTCTAATTTAAATAAACTTTATATGCAACAAAAACTTTACATGAAATATGAAAAGTTTTTAGTTTTGTGTTTCCTACAGGGCAGGGGAAGGGAAGAGGTACAGTATGTAAAATAAAAACAGA